GATGTGGTAGACAACTCTAACGACTCAAAAATTTAGACAAAGTGAACACATTTGTTGGGAGGGGGAAAAGAAACACAAGCTACCAAAGGGAGGGAAGATGGAGGGTGTGGGAGGAGCTGAGGGGAGGGAAGAATAGGGGGTGAACATGATCAAAATATATTGTGTTTGTGTGTGTGTGTGAAATTCTCAAATTATCAAGAAAAATACTATATTTCCTAAAACAGAAGTCACCAAAATTAGTGCAAGAAGAAATAGAAAACCTTGATATCTCTGCATCTATTAAAGGAATTGACTTTGTGATTTAAAATATCTGCATGTATGCACATAAACACCAGGTTCAGATGGCTTCACTAGTAAATTCAACCAAGCATCTCAGTTAAAAAACGATACTGTGTCTATACAAACTAAGCAGAGACACAGGGCACATCTCAGCATAATCCCAATACCAACCCTAAAAGGCTATTTTAAGAGCCATACACGGTGGCTCAAAGCTGTACTCCTAGCTCTCAGAAGACTGAGGGGGACAATCCTGGGGTAGAAGTCATCTTGAGCCACATAGTTCGTTCAAGACTCACCTAGGCTAACCAAAATTGTAGAACAAGAAAAGGAAAAACATGTTATAGGAAACGTAAAAACAACATCCTTCTTAAATACAGGCGTAAAACTTCTTTTGAAAATATTTACAAATTAGACATAGCAGAATCTAAAGAAAATAGTAAATCATGAGCAAGTAGAGTTTGTTCCACATCTGTAGCTCAATCAACACCATTCACCGTACTAGCGGGATAAGGGAGGGAAATCATGTGATCATCTTTCTAGAAGCAGAGAACATCTTAACCAAAATGTAGTATCTATTGATGATTTTCTTTAAATAAAAGTACTTGACGGGCTGCAGAGATGCCTTAGTGGTTAACAACGCTTACTGTTTCTGGTAAGGACCCAGGTTTGGTTCCCAGCACCCACGTGGTAGTTCATAATTGCCTGCAACTCAGGGGCCCTCAGGCCCTCTGCTGCGTCTCCGTGCTCCTGCATGCACCTGATGCTCACAGAGATACAAACATACGCATAACTTTTCAATTTTAATTAACAAAATAAAAATAGAAAAAAACTTTTTCTAGCAAACTAGAAATAGGATAGAACTTCCTCAATGCAACAAAGGCAGCCAATAATGTATATCAAACATAACTAATGGAGAAACAATAGACTCTCTTCTTCAAAGATCAGAAACAAGGCCAGAAAATACACACCACCCTCTGGGATTTTTTCCCAACATCACATTGAAAATTTTAAGCAAAACAATGTGGCAAACTATAAGCAAGGAAATAAAAGTCAAGCTATCAAAAAGAATAAGCTATTGATACACTCAAGAGTACGAATAGATGTCAAAAATATTTTGCTGAGACAAAGCTGCCAGCCACAAAGGAGTACATACTCTCTTATTCTATTTATATATGATCCTAGAGCATATAAAACTCATTTATAAGGACAGAAGCAGATGGATAATTGCCTGAGGGCTGGTAAAGGGGGTGGGTGATCATAAGTGGGGAGCTTTTGAGGTTGGATATATTCTGTGTCCTGATTGTAGTGATTACCACAAGGATACGCATTTTCTTTAAAACTCACTCAGGGTGCTGAGGAGATGGCACAGCACTAAAGATCACTGGCTGCTCTTCTGGACTTGGGTTCCCAGCACCCACTCAGTGGCTCCCAGACACTTGTAACTCTAGTTCCAAGGGATCGGACTCCCTCTTCTGGCCTCTGAGGGCACCAGGTATTCACATTGTACACATACATACATGTGAGCAAAACATTCTTACACATATGATAAGTGAATCTAAAAAATTCATTCTTTCATTTATGCATTAGATTTTATCTATTTTATGATATAAATATGTACTCTTAAATAAGGTTTTTAAAGTAGAAAAATAGACACCACTAAGACAAAATAAAACCCAGACTATAGAGAAAAGGTGTATACTTCACATTTGACTCAGACCTGAAATTCAGACCATTCATCCAGAGAATTCTTACATCTCAAGAATAAATACAAAAAAAATCATGCAGTGTTTCTTAATGGGCAAAAGACTCTAACATATGTCACAGAATATTAATATACAAATAACTGATAAAAACATGAAGTTGTGCTCAAAATCATCAGTCATCAGGGAACTATAAACAGAAACACCAAGTTGCTACAGTCGGACCCCAACAAAAACGACAAAACCGACAGGGAGACAGGAGTCAAGAGCTAGCGTGGGTGTGGGGAGAGTGCCATTGCCATTCACTCCTAAGGAAAGAAAACAGTGGAGGGCCAGCTAGATGGCTCAGCTGGTAAAGCCCCTGCCACCAAGCCTGACAACCTGAGTCTGATCCCTGGATCCCTCCTGGTAGACTAGAGAGAACCAACTCCTGCAAGTTGCCCTCTGACCTCTACACGGTCACATGGCACAGATACCGAAACACAAACACCCACACACAATAAATAAATGAATGTTCTGAAATGGTAGACCCACTTTAGATCAGAGTTGGGCCATTTCTTATAAAATTATACTTATAACTAAATTATGAATCAGAATCAGTTATTCCACTCCAGGCCATTCACTGAAGAGAAACTGAAAAGTCTGCAAAATTAACCATAAATAAATACTGGGTGTCTTAGTTAGGGTTTCTATTGCTGTAAAGAGACACCATGACTATGGCAACTCTTTTTTTTTTTTGGCAACTCTTACAAATGAAAACATTTCACTGGGGCTCGCTTATAGTTTCAGAGATTTAGTACATTATCGTCATGGCAGCGTTCAGGCAGACATGGTGCTGGAGAAGGAGCTAAAAGTTCTACATCTTGATCTGTAGGCAGCAGAAGCAACTGTGTCCCACACTGAGCTTAACTTGAGCATAGAAGACCTCAAAGCTCGCCCCCACTATGACACACTTCCCCCAACAAGGCCACACCTTCTAATGGTGCCTGTTCCTGTGGGACAAGCATTCAAACACATGAGTCTCTCTGGAGGCTATACCTATTCAAACAGCCACACTCATCTAGGTATGGTCACACACGACTGTAATCTAGCATTTGGGAGATGGAGGCAGGACCATCAGGAGCTCACAATCGTCCTTGGCTACACAGCAAGTTTGAGGCCAGCCTGTGCTATATGAGACCTTGCCTATAAATTAACTAAATAAATATTGGTAGGGTCTTCTTCATGATTACCAAAACCAATCCAAACACCCACCACCAGGTGAATGGATAAACAAACCAGGAGGGCTCATATGTTAAAGAATGACTCAAGAAAAAAGGACCTAACTCCAGGTGTGCCCCAATGTGGAACAACCTCAAAACCATCTTCTGAGTAAAAGGAGCAGGCAAAAGAGTGCAAAGAGCAAACTGTCAACTATCTAAGTTTGAAAAGAGACTGGACAGACAGTTGTAACAGAATTCGTGAGAGTGGTTGCCTGGGAGGACTGTAGGGCACTGCTTTCGAAGGACATGAATTCATTTTCTATAGGGATAAAAATGTCACATGCCTTGGTTGATACAGTGTTTACACAGGTAGATGGTAAGCATTTGACAGAACTCGAACTGTGCACTTCAGATTTGTGGTGTGGCTGGGAGTTGTGGTGCACGTCTTTAATCCTGGCACTCAGGAACCGGGCAGGCAGATCTTTGTGAGTCCAAGGCTAACCTGGTCTACAAAGTACAAAGTGAGTTCCAGGACAGCCAGTATATAGTGAGACATTCCTCAAACAAAACAAAAGGATTTGGGATCTCTCTCTCTCTCTCTCTCTCTCTCTCTCTCTCTCTCTCTCTCTCTCTCTCTCTCTCTCTCTCTGTGTGTGTGTGTGTGTGTGTGTACATCCATATTGAGCATGGAGAATCAGAGTTCAACCTCAAGTGTCAGCCTCACCTTCCACTTTGTTTGAGATGAGTTCTCTTGTCACTCTCCACTGTGTGCACCAGGCTAGCTGACCTTGGAGCGTTCAGGAGTTCTGTTGTCAGCACCTATCATGGTAGTGCTGGGATATGTGATACCACCATGACAGACTTTCCACACGTTCTAGGGATCCGAACTCAGGTCCTCACATTTGCATGGCAAGAATTTTACCCAGTGAGACCTCTCCCCGGCCCCAAATATGTACATCTTATTGTTTTTCTTGTTCTTCCATTTTAAAGGGAAAACTGGATGTAAAGAGTTTGCATATCTTAGTAGCAATAGCATAGTAAATGCCCCACAACCATCAACTCTCTCATCCATTACCCTCCACATCTCTCTCAAGCAAGTACAACAGATGTTAGCAAATCTATGGTACTGGCCCTCTGAGAATAGAAATGACATTGTCCGCACTGGGGTGTCATCCACAGCATGATCAGGACCATAAGTAACATGACTGTACTCTACAGTCACTTCACCCTGCCCTCTTGTGGGGCTTATCCTCCAGGTCTGTGTCTGGGGTCCCAGTCTTCCCACCAACAAGGCAGAATTTAGATGGGTCATTCCAAGTGCCACTAGTTGACACTGATGTGGGAAGACACAGCGTGGACAACAGACTCCAAGGACAGGGCTGGCACGAGGACTCATCTGTTAAGAGCACTTGCTGTTCTTGTAGAGGACTCCAGTTCAATTCCCAGTACCCACATGGTGTCTCACATGCAACCCCACTTGTAACCCCATCTCCAGGGGATCCAGTGCCTTTTTCTGGCCTCTACCAGGCACACACACACACACACACACACACACACACACACACACACACACACATGAAGTCTTTAAATAAAAAGACTGGGAAGAGAAAAATTCCATGAAAATTGATTTTAAAAAAAGGTGGGAAATTCATATGGTATCCAGATGGTGAAGGTTCACAAGGCCAGCAGGGTTTAGTTTGTTCAAAATGCTCAATTGCTTATTTGTCCATTGAACAGGTAGACAAACGTGCCATCGAGTCCCTGGGAACTGAGTGCATCCTCTACCAGGACTGACTGTGTCCTCCTTCCTGTCTTACAGCTCACATATCTGCCCCCACCGTGGGGGGAGTGTCGGTCCTCAGAGATGGGGCTAGACTTCTTTCCTGTTTACAGCATCACCGCCTGTCGCATTGACTGTGAGACCCGCTACATCGTGGAGAACTGCAACTGCCGCATGGTCCACATGCCAGGTGGGTGTCAGAACTCCCAGGACCTTTGCAGTTTCCCCCACCCTGGCAGGAAACACCTCACCCACTCCTGGAGGATGCAAAGAAACATTGTTCTAGGGAGACTGTAGTACCTGCCAACCAAAGGGCAGGTAGCAATATTCCATTCATCCATCCATCCATCCATCAATCAGGGCAGCATCCTGGTGTATGGAGGTGCCCAGATGTGTACCTCACCTCCATCTCCATGCTCTGTATGCTTGCCAGGTGACTGCTCCTCTTGCCTCCTGAGATAATGGGATGCTCCTGGCCCACACATGCTGATAATGTGGCTGTTTGGATATCCAGATGTCTGTGGCTTTCACCCAGATGTTTCCCTTCTTGCATCCAAATGTCTAGCACTCTTTCGAGTAAGGCAAAAGTCTATTAGTGAGCAAATAAATGTGCCTGTGCAGACACTTCCATTGTCAGACTAACAACGCTTGTTGCCATCTCATTAGATGCAGTCAGCTTGTCAGAGGCAGGAGTGTGGAGTGGGAGCTCGTTTGGGCAGGACAGGGGTAGCAAGAGCGGGTAACTGGAACTGTAGGCATGGAGCTTAGCTTCTATTTCAGGCTTCTCCATTCACGGTGTGGGCTGGCCCACATCACTAACCCTCTCTGTTCTTTCTTTCATTATCTTAAAAAGAAAGGGAAAAAAGAATGTAAAGATGCCCTGTAAACGACAAAAGTCAATGTTGATTATATTAGTTCGTGAGGAGGTAGAAGAAAGTCACAACTGCTAATGACCTACTGTGTGCTTGGAGCATCGCTGTCCCTTTTGATATTTACTCTTCTTTGCTTATGTCCTACCTTATTTAAGCTTGTTTAACAAAGCCCTTTTGGTGAAGACTTAGTTCATCACCTATTGTTGTGACAGCTCTCAAGTAAGTCTCCTCCTGGCTGAATTCTATGTCATTATGTCATTAGTGATCAGTAATGACCTTTGTCATCCAAGATTAGAATTGTTATCTTTAAAACTGCCTCTGTTCAGAGAGACATTGCCAATACTGACTGTTAAGGCCACCAACATTAGTAGGGAAAGACACAGGAGTGTGTTAAGCAAGCCACTCTGGGCCTTGAAGTCACCCTGACTCCCATGACTGGGGTCAGAGGTAGCTCTGAGGGAAGACTCACAAAGGGGCATGTAGAAACTACAAAAGCAGTGGATTGCCCCCCTAGATCAGGTTCTCAACCTGTAGTCATATTCTTGGGGATCACATATCAGATATCCTGCATATTCAATATTTACATTATGATTCATAACAGTAGCAAAATTACAGTTATGAAGCAGCAGTGTAACAATTTTATAGTTGGGGTCACGGCAACATGAGGAACTGGATTAAAGGGTTGCGCCATTAGGAGGGTTGAGAACCACTGCCCTAGCTCTTCCAGAAAAAAAAACATAACTCTCCCAACACCAATGACGCCTGTGGCTGACTGCAGACCTACAAAAGTGCAAGAGGATAAATGTGTGCTTTTTAAATAATGGCATTAAAATTGCCTATGAGATTCCTGGAAGATAGGGCAAAATGGAAACCACATCACTTAGCGTGTTATTATTGGAAAAGGGAATTGCACCAGCTCTTCGATGCTGTAAAAAAAAGGACTTGGGGGAAAATGGTTCAAAGCAGACATTCCTGGTGGATCTTGACTTTAGCATTTCACAAAGAAAAAAAGAAAAGAGGGGAAAATAAAACAATCAGCAACAAAAATGAGATCTTAGCACTCTACAGAGAGATTCCAGAGAGGAAGACTAGGGAGACTAGCAGCAGCTTGCCTAATGCACAGGCTGAACCCCCAGCCATGAGCTTTTCCCATAAAACGTGAGCCAGAGGCAAGCAGACAAAGTGAGGCTGCAATCATTCCAGCTGTGACATCTCAACTGCATGAGATGATGGATGGACGGGACCATAAGGAGGCGCAGAGCCCCCCAGGTTGCCTATCACAGTGTGGTGTGCTGAGGGGCAGCAGCCTCCAGATGACATGGACCCCTGTGCCAACCCCACCTTACCACCAGCAGCTCGCTATCTGGAAAGCGAGGTGCTGAGCCCCATGTTTTTCTACTTGGGAGCCTAACACAAGTGTTCAAGGAGACCACATGGAGCCTGGCTTCTACCCCACCCCGGACCTTGTTTTGTCCCCAGCCTTCCAGACAAGCTACCCCATCATCCACCATTGTGAGCCACCAGAAGAAGGCCAGGCGGGTCTCATGGTCTCCTTCTCACAGCAGATCAGAAGTCATTTCCAGATCTGAGGACACTGAAGAGTGACGCCCATCAGTGGGTACTGGGAGTCACTCATTGCCTGGGCCAGTGAGGCCGCTGTCATGCATGGCTCCTGTGTGGTTAATGCTCTTTCTCTCTGCTTTCCTTCCCTGCAGGGGATGCTCCTTTCTGCACCCCTGAGCAGCACAAGGAGTGTGCAGAGCCTGCCCTAGGTCAGTACTGGGAACAGAGGGAGTGGGACGTGAAGGGGAGGTTGTGGGGTCATCTGATATGACACCAAAGTCAACCGTGGAAAAGGGAGCAGGGAAGGGATGAGCACAAAGAAAGATGCAGGAAGCTGTCGAGGGAGAGAGGAGAGGAGGGAACCATACAGGTGGATGAGTTACAGAGAGAGAGAAGGAGACAGAGGTGGTGATGGAGAAGTAGATTTCACAGGGACTGGAGGATGCAGGGAGAGGGTGACCAAAGGGCCACTGGGTCACCTGAAGGAGCTTGGCAAAGCCAACACACACACACACACACACACACACACACACACACACACACACACACGCACACATGCACACACGCACACACGAACCAATTCATCTGAAAGCAGCATGTCTTCCCCTCGCTCTGAGCCCAAGGGAGAGGAAGTGGCAGAGAGCGGCGGAAGTCCTCTTCCATTCCACGTGTGCAAACACAAGCCCCACTATGCTATGCCACCGCTGCCACCTCCCCACTTCTCCCCCCTCCTCCCATAGCCTCCAGGGCATCTGAAGTCTAAAATAACTGCTGACTCCTCAGCTGGAAAACCTGGAGGGAGGGGGAGCCCACAGACATGGGATGGGGTAGTTCAGCAGCGATCCTGCTGTCTGTCTACCTCCCCTCTCCAGTCCCAGGAAGAAACAGACAGATCTGTAAACCCCGTGCGCCCCAGTTCCTTCAGCAGCTGCATTTGGTAGCCCTAAGTGAGGGCAAAGCTGGACTCCTGTGGTAGACGTCCTGAGAAGGGAGCTGGTTTACCATGTATGCAAAGTCTTTCTTTGGAATACAGATAACAAGACCAAATGAAAGAGGCATAAGGGTGAGGGAGAACCAAAGAGAGAAGAAGGAAGGGAAGGAGGGAGGGAGGGAGGAAGGAGCTGAAGGAGCAATTTTTCTTGCTAATGGTTGAGAAAACTTTTGGACCCTTGCAGTTAAGCATCCAGGCGACTTCAACAGGGGAGCCAGGGATTCATCTCAGCATGTAGCAGGCAGTTGGGGACTCATCGCCTGCAAGCACTGTGAAGGGTCAGGAGATGAAAAAGTGCACAGATGTTGGGGCGGGGTGGAGTATTGCTACTCATAGAGCTGGGATTCGCCAGGGTGATGGAGTATCAAGGTGAGAATTCTCTCTAGGTTTCCTTTAGCAGGCTTCTTGCCAGAGCGGGGCTGAGAGGTGGAGAAGCTGCTCTCAAGGGCCTGACTAAAGTTTGGTCAAAAAGAGTTTGTCAGGGAACCACAGCGCTTTCGACCACCTGGTCCGGTGGGGGAGGAAAGGGAGAGATGTGTTCTGGGTGCTGGGGGAGGGAGGTTAGGTTGTTCCAGGATAAGAATTCAAGGATCTTTCCCTGTGTAGCTTCTCAGGAGGCAGAGGGCATGGCTTGGGTTCTGAGGAGCACCAGCAGGTCAGCATGAAGTCCTGAGTTCCGAGCACAGTGTTCTCCATGTTAACTTCCATGGAGGCTCAGTGTTCTCCATGTTAACTTCCCTGGTGGCCCACTTTGTGGGTCAGAACACTGATGCTATACACAGGAGAAAGTCCTGTGAATGGAAGGGGCCAGGCCTCCCCGTGGAACTGTCTCCCTAAAAATGGCAATGGGCCAACACTTTTGAAAGTGCAGGAGGACAGTAAGAGCAAGCAGAAAGAAAACAAGCCCTTGGCAAAATCCCATCTCAGCAATTCTCTAACCCAGTTTCCTGGGGCCCAGCTCCCCCTCCTGGCTTGCATCTTAATGTCTAGAATCTACGTATGCTGGACCAGAGATCCTCGCCCCCACCCACACCTACCTGAGACCCTCTCCTCTCTCCTCCAGGCCTCCTGGCAGAAAAGGACAGCAATTACTGTCTCTGCAGGACACCATGCAACCTGACCCGCTACAACAAAGAGCTCTCCATGGTGAAGATCCCCAGCAAGACGTCAGCCAAGTACCTGGAGAAGAAATTTAACAAATCTGAAAAATATATCTCGTAAGTTAAGTGGGAAGGGAGGAGGTGTGGAGGGGGCATACAGAAAGAGACAAAAAGCAAGCAGTTAGCTCAATTTAGCAAACATTAATTGAGTGCCTGCTGTGTGCCAAGCTCAGAAGACAAAGCCACAAAGAGCTTGCAGCCTCCCGGGGAGATAAGTGCAGGATTAAATGCCACATAGGGCAATGACGTCTGGGACAATGTTGGCTATAATTGAGATATGCAGACACTAAGGGGAAACAGTAGCTGACTGCAGTTTGCTCAGGGCAAGGTTCAGGGAAAGCTTGACCTTTCTAAAGAATGTATAATTCTGGTGGGTCTTGAGCCTTCTGGTCCCTCTTCCAGAAACACTTTTCCTGCCACTATGCCTGTCTGGTTCCTCATGGTACCTGTCTGCATTTAAATATCATTGCCTTAGAAAGTTAGATTATCTCCTCTTCAGGCACTGTGGTGTTTCCCTTTATAATATTGCTACAGTGTGTGACTTGCTGTTAAATAAGCGGTTCCGTTCAGGAAAGGAGCTGACACAACTGCCCTTCAAGAATTAGGTTTAAGGGGGGGCGGGCATGGAGAGATGGCTCAGCAGTTGAGAGTGATGTTCAGACTCCAGCACCCATGTCAGGCAGCTCAGAAATGCCTGCAACTCCAGCTCCAAGGGATCGGATGCCCTCTTCTCTCTCCCTCTCTCCCTCTCTCTCTCTCTCTCTCTCTCTCTCTCTCTCTCTCTCTCTCCCTCCTCCCTCCCCCATCTCCCCTCTCTGCCCTCCTCCTCGAATGAGCATGGTTGAGGTTATTTACTGAATTATAGGCAAGTTACCAGTGGCTACACCACTGAAGAAAATTATTTCTCCCTCCCCCATCCACACAGCAATGCTGATGGGCCCTGTCTTGAGCAGGTCTTGTTCAGGTAACCTTAGCCGCTGAATTCACGAGTGCAATGGAGGGCCACTGCCAGCATTTCACAACACTCCTCTCTATCCCTATCCGCCAGCTCTTACATTCTTTCTACCTTCTTTGCCATGGTGTTGCCCTTCAACCAATTATGAGTCTTGGTGTTAACATGGCTCGCTGCAAAAGGAAGCTTCTCTGAGCATGTGCTGAGAGCTGCATTAATCTATGGTTATAAATACAAACTCTTAGAAGGCATTTGAGGGGTCATGATCTCTCCAGTCAAGGGCTCTTGAGAAGGCCTACAGTAGTGAATACAGATTCTCTCTTGTGGAACAATGCCATCAGAAAGCAGCTGGTCACCCCGACAATCTTCATGCCATCTTGCACCAGTGGGTACATCATTCCCCAGCGGGTTAGTATTGTATCTCACAGGGGTCACAGCTGGGTAAGACCACTGATGACTTTTCTACCTCGGCACCTGCTCAGCACCTTGAGAGCTGGCCAGCAGGGAGGAATCTTCCAGCTCAGTTCCTGCCTGATTCTCTCTGCCATGTCACTAAAATCTGTGTGATATCTCTACCATTAGGTCTTACTACCTAGTTTGGGTGGGCAACCAAGAGCAATGACAAAAGCCTATGTCAAATTTGTGTCCTTGAACTCTGCTCCCCAGTAGAACATCCTGGAGTGATAGATTCTACACCCCTGACACTTGGTGCGGTAACCACGGGCCATGCATGGCTGCAGAGCATCTGCAATGGTCGTTTGTATGACTAAGAAACTGAATTGTGATCTTCTTTAATTTGAATCCACATAATAATTTCAGAAAGACCCTCCAGGCAGCAGTCAGGGAGGAAGCCAGACAGGAGAAAGAGAGCCTCTCTCATTGCTGTAGAGTTCCACGGTGTGGAAGACACTTGCTGCTTTCTCTCCCAGCCACTCTCCCATTCCAGGACAGTCGCCAGGTCCCTTCCTGGGATGACTTCTGCTCAACAGGTTCAAAACAAGGAGCTTGGAGGGCATGCCAAGCCCCACAGAAGGAGATGAGAATGTAGGAAACACCAGGCCCTGCTGCTTAGCAGGCATTCCACAAGTAGGAATGAGTTCCACTGCCAAGACTCATCTTGTTAACACACCTGCCCGCAGGAAAGCCACAGAAGGAGCACAGGGCTTCTGCCAGGAATCCCCCCAGCCAGCCATGGGCTGCTCCTTACAGTTCTCCCCAGCTCTGGCAGCCCACTGAACAATGCCAGGTCAGGGCCTCCCACCACAAGAGGGTTGTTAGTGGTCTCAGGAGGAAAATGGGGACTCCCAGGTGTTGTCCGTAACCGCTTAGATGTTCAGCTGGGGCAGGCATCCAAACTGAGGCCAGCCTGGACAAGAGACTGCTGAACTCCTTTGCATGCTAAAAATAAGCAGGTTCCAGAAGACTCAGGGACTTGGGTCCAGGCTGGACCCCCAGAAAGGCTACCGACAGAGTGGAGTAGATAAGGACATACAGGGACCCAGCTCATGGGAGCCTCTGGTACTGGAGTTCCACCTATGAGCAGCTCCCTGGGCCTTCCTTTCTCTATCCATCCACAGGAAAACTGGAGTAGCTGGTCCCTTGAGTGCTGAGGGCTCTAACAGTGTGTGGTGCTTGACTTTCCCCCTGCAGAGAGAACATTCTGGTTCTGGATATATTTTTTGAAGCGCTCAATTACGAGACAATTGAACAGAAGAAGGCGTATGAAGTCGCTGCCTTACTTGGTGAGTTGGAATGTCTGCCACATAAATTTCCACATCTCTTGGGAGGGATGGGGGTGGAGGTGGGCAGGAGGTGGGCAGACAGACATATAAGCCTCCCAAGGAGGCAAACTTGTTAATCTACTGGTTATTCTCTGGGCTTGCTGAGATAGAGGTTATAGGTTCAGTTCAGTCCTCAGTCCAAGACCTCAGTCTCATTCTCCGTGCAGTGAGGAGCAAACACAAAGGTCACACAGGGCATCTCCAGGTCTGCCCTCTTGGATTCCAAAGTCTGTCTATAGGTTGGAGTCAGCATCCCAGGGCCTGAAGGCTAGCAGAAGCACTGAAGGGAGGGCTGTGTTCAACTTGGGTGGTCCCCAGGCATCCAGATTATCAGGGTTCCTGGTAGAGCCTGGATAACAATGCACTGAGAATCGGAGTGTTGTCCCCTGGACCCAGAGCCCTTTCTCAAACAGGAAACAAGAGCTGATCTCTCCAGATGACCACCAACCTAACAGCTATGCCCACACAAGTTCACATTGGCTGTCCTGGTCCTGATAGAACATGACGTACACAAATAATTAAGCTCAACCCATCCCTAGCCCATCTGGATACTCACATTCTGGTTAAGGGACCAACCCTTCAACCTGTACCACCTCCTACCCACTCCAAAGAAAGGGGACAGTGCCTAGCAGTAGTGACCATTGTCCCTGAGACTGAACTGTGACAGTAGCATCCTGGGAGGGGCAGGTTCCACCTGAAAGGAAAACCAGGCTTTGAATCCAAGGTCTTCTGGAGACCAGTGGTGGGGACATGGACAGGCCTTCTATCACCTACCGTGTCGTCTGACTTTCCATCACTGTGAAAAGACCTGAGCAGAACAACTTGAAGAGGGCAAGGACTTGTTTGAGCTCATGACTTTAGGGTTTGCAGTCCAACATGGTGGGAATAGAGTGAGGGAGTAGAGCAGCTATCATCATGGCAGCCAGAAAACAGGGAGAAGAAAACGGGAAGGGAAGGAAGTAGGGAGGGAGGGAGGAAATCTGCCTGTGCCAGCAGACTCTTTCCTTTCTCCTATTTCCTTCTCTCCTTTCCATCTCCAGGATCCCAGTCCATGGGATGGTGCCTCCCATATGTAGAGTTGTCCCCCTATTAGTTAATTGTCTCCAATCTAGTCAAGTTGACAATGGAGATAAACCATGTTGCCTAGTTCACTGTGGCACTTAGCTCAGATAAAGGCCATCAATAGCAGTCGGTGGCATCTAGATAGTCGCCATCCCAGAACTCCAGCCCCATCTGGTATGGCCCGAGCTATGGGAGCATTTCTATACTTCATCTAGGAAAAGAGGGACAAAGCCTTTGCTCAGTGCCAGCTATGTGGAGGATAGCTGTCACTTAGGCCTCTTTGAAAGTTATTGTGGTTAAAGGCCCTGATCCACAGAGCACAGGCCATGCCCCCTCATTCACTCCTGGAAGGTCTGTTATTTCCCCTTCCCTCCACAAAGAGGATAAAGCTTGCATGTGCATAGGTGTGCTCCTAAGCTCGCTTGCTCTCTCTCTCTCTCTCTATATATATATATATATATATATATATATATATATATCTTCTTCCTTCCCTCATTTCATCTCTCTCCCCTCTCCCTCCCTCTCTCTTCCACCCTCTTTTCTCTCTCCCTCTGTCCCTCCCCCTCTCACTCTCTTTCTCACACAGAGAGAGAGAGAGAGAGACAGGGACAGAGACAGAGACAAAGAGAATGAGAGACAGAGAGAGAATGAGAGAGAGAGAGAGAGAGAGATCTCAGAAAGGGTCCAGGCTTTGAATCTGTCATGCCTGCATCAGATATAAGGATGAACTTGTTCCCAGCATCTTGTTCCCGCCCAGAATAGCCTGTTAGGAAATGGTGCTGCCATCTGTGCCTCCTGTGAGGAAAGTGTGTGCCGCACACAAACCTTCAGCCATCAGTCCCAGCTCTGCCCTCTCTCGCCACTACCCCACGTGAACATCGCTCAACACCCCATGCTAATACACACAATATGCACACTGAAAGCAACCTGCAGGTCCATGTACCCATGGTGCAGCAGAACCAACACACACACACACACACACACACACACACACACACACGCACGCACACACACACACACACCTGCACAGCTCTGTGTCCCACCACATAGTTTCAGAGGCACATCGATGTACACAGCAAACATAGGCAGACACAATCTATGCCTGTATGTCCACATACTCATTACATATGCCTACGTGGCACACACAGGAACACACCTACACGTAAACAATGCTCATACCTGCTGTACACATTCAGGCACACTCTAGCCACATCTACCACACACACAGAGACACATTCTATATGCCTAAAGGAGACAGAGATATGTACTCACATGTAGCCATCAATGATCAGACATGCTGCCTACATACATTCTGCACCCTGTCTATGCTGATTGCATTCCAGTTGCACTGTACACCATTGCAAAAGCACACTTCATACCTGAAATACTCACACAGTCATACACACTCCCTAGTAAGCTTGCACTAGAGCAATGGGGATGGGAAGGAACAAAAGGAAGCCATCTTGAGCCCAGGGAGGTGGGTTATTATATGCAGCTGAACAAATAGGCAGGGTTATTACACAAAGCTTAATAAGGATGTGAGTTATTACATATACATAGCGAGGAGGCAGAGTTATTACATTCAGCTGGCCAAGGAGGCAGGTACCACCAATCTCAGTAGAAACAGTCTTCATGCAGTGAACATCTGGGGGAGAAAGCTATGGTCGACATTTTCTGCACACACTACCAAAATTCACGCACAGACCAGAGGCAGCCTTTGCCATCACTCAGAGCCCCACCCAGGGAAGGCTTCACCACGCCCATGAGGTAGAGGTATCGGGAGCCTTGACATGACTGTGCCCATTTCAACAACACACATTCACTCAGGACTTCATCCACTCCCTAAACAGGCCCATGGACCTCCTTAGTGAGTGATCAGCCCCAACCCTGCTGGCTAGTGATGTACATGAATGAAGGGTGGCCTGTCAAAGGACTGGCCCTCCACGACAAGGCCCAGAATTCCCTTGGAGGGGGCACACTCCAGTGCTCCAGCTTCCAAGTTCATCATCTCTTCACCCCTTCCTGGATCTGTGTGTAACACCCAATCTCTGTCTGGTCTTCTCCCTTCCTCTGCAGGTGACATTGGTGGTCAGATGGGATTGTTTATTGGTGCTAGTATCCTTACAATACTAGAGCTCTTTGATTATATTTATGAGGTAAGATTTGGGGTTACCCTTGGGGAAATGACCAAATGGTGGAACACCCAGACTCAGAACCGAGCAGGACTGAGGCAGAAGCTTCATTTCACCCACGCAAAGCCACTTCTCCAAAGCATACGGCAGGGGACTTAGGAGAGATGGATAGGAAAGACATGGCAGCCTTGGTCCTCTCTTGGACCTGGCTTTCGTCACAGAGACAGAGTGGAGGAATGAGAAGAGGCCAGACTGTGCAGAGGCCATCCCCAAGTCCCTTACACAGTGGAACCAGGGCAAGGTTTCATACCCCAGGTGGTCCACATCTATACGCAACACATCACACACCCAACAATCTACATGCTCATGTATCATATACATATCACACATATACATATCCCACATACGTTCACACAACATGTTCCCACATGCACACATGTGCTCACATATGCATATGTGCGTGCGCACACACACGCACACACACTCAAACCACAGTCACATACCTGTATACCACACACAATGCACTGAGGAGTACACACCACCCACAAGCCTGTCCTCCAAGTGGTCTGTTTTCTAAGTACTGTCTTCCATGGCTTAGCCAGCCCTAGGGAGGGGGTGCATGTCCCAGGAATCCTCATCAATCCCCACCATGGTGTCCACCACTTCTACCGCTCACAGTCGGAGGAGATATGATCCTCTCTAGAGGCAGCTAGGACCACGTTTCTGAAAGAGTCTCAAACAGGGGTCCTGGAGCATGTCAGCTCTTACAACCTCCTAAGCCCAGGCGAGGGTATGCCTGCCCTGGTCTACTCTGGGCAGAGATTTGGGAATGGCAGATGGAATAGTGGGCTAACCTACCTATGAGTAGGTTCCATGCCAGTTCTGCTCTGCCTTGGTGATCACTTGGAGACCTCCATGTCCCTGGTCACAGATGGGCAATTCACACCAGGCTGGGGGGTGCCTGTCTAAGACAGGTGGTGATCCCAAAGGTCCTAAGGTACTCCCACACTGCAAAGCCCCTCAGGACTCTGATCCTCAGCCTTCTCATTGCCTCCCAGGGAAGGCAAAATACCCCCAGCAGTCATTTAGGTAGAGCCCCGTGTGACCAGTGCAGAAACCCGAGTGTCCCTCAGCATGATGACTGAACCAAATAAAGCCAGATTCTTGTTTGGCAGTATTTATTCATTCCCCTGGAAAGTTGTACAAAGTGAATGGCAAATTGAGCCCCATTAGATAGCATACTTAAGAACTACCCTTAATTGATACAAATAAAGTGTTATAACCCTTGGGCATGCCCTCATCATGTGGAGGTATCAATCCTGGAAAGTGAATAACGAAACTGGGTGTGGTGGCGTATATCTGTAATCTCAATATACTAGGGAGGTTGACACAGGAGGATGGTGAACTTGAGCCAACCTAAGCTACACAGTGAAAACGTGTTCCCAGAGTGCTCCTAGGACCCCTGGGGATCTGGGCATATCCATCAGAGAAAGCAGTCCACACAGCAAGGCCGAGCCCTCCCCCACCCTCTTCCAAGCTCTGTTTGGAGCAACAAAATCACTTGCAGCCCAGAGGGAGAGCTTGAGAGTGAGGCCCTAGGGCTGTCCACCAGGCAGAGCTCTTGCTATTGTATGTACAGCCACAGCCCACACAGTCACTGCCTATGTGATTCCCTGGTTCAGCCCTGTGAAAGGTTGCCCTTTGACCTTTGCACCATCCTCCCAGCCTAACTGTGCTCTTCCTGTCTTTCCTACAGCTGATCAAAGAGAAACTATTAGACCTGCTTGGCAAAGAAGAGGAGGAAGGGAGCCATGATGAGAACATGGTAAGAACAACTTTCCATGGCCTGGCTTGTGTAGGCAATATGAAACCACACACAGGTCCAGGCAGGAAGGACCTGAATCTCAGCACATCTTTCCATGGCCTGTGACATCCTCATATGCCCCAGCTAGGCCACATCCCAAAAGTCAACAACTAAGCCATGAATAGAACTGACCCCCAAAGGTACTTCCAAGAGTGAATCCTTCTCCAGGTCACAGGGTACCCTCTCCTCCCATTCACCTACAAGAGAGTCCCTATATGTACTTCCATGTTCCCTAAGAGTGTCACTGACCTGCATTTGAAGTGGACACCTCATGAAGTTAGTAGCAGTAGTTGTACACATTACAACTACTAAATACCCTGGCTACAGGTTGGGCACCATTCTGGGTGCCCAGGTGGGTCTTGCCACTGAAGCCACCATAGATAAAGGTCTTTTTCCCTTTGATAGATACCACTGAGGCCCAGAGGCCAGAGTCACTTAGGTTTTGAGTGTCAGGACTAAACCTTAAGTGCCTCTAACCACTGGGTCACTCTTCCTTTTCCCCGTAGTCAGAGGCAGCACCCTTCACTTTCATGCCTGTCCAGCATTCTTTTCCATAGCTCATCCCACTCCTGGGCTCAGGACTTGGTTGACCGAGGCAGGCATTTTGGGCTCTTCTTCCCATTCTATATCCCAAATTAGCCTGTGAGAATCATGCTCTAGTGGCCGCTGCCTTGCTAAAATTTACTAGTCCCAAGTGGATCCCAGCCCTTTCTGTCAGGCTCCCATTTCTATTCCAGATACAGTATCGTACTCAGCTCCCAGGCAAGAAGCCTGGCTTTGATTCTCTGCACTCCTGAAGGCTCTGGAGAACAGAAGGCAAGCCTCTGCTAAGGGAGAAAACAGCAAAGAAACGAAGAGCCTAGGCTCTGGTCTCAGTTGACTTGGCCATAGCCTAGGCCCTCTGAGTCCTAGTTGTGTGCCCGGAGGATCTTAGCCTCCCTAAGCATCTGCATACGATCAGAAAGCCCCAGAGGGGTCTCATGGGGTTCAGAGAGATTGTGCTTGCATCTCAGAGGCTGCAAGTGCTCCAAAAGCCAAGATTCCCTCCCACCTCCTTCCTTAGAATGTCTCAGAGTCAATAGCCACCTTTCCTGTTTCCCCTCCCCCAGCTCTGTCTCCATCAACTCCCCACTCTACCCCTTCCACACCAACCCCAGTGCCATATCCCTGGTAGAACCTCCTGCCTGCTCCTTCCTTTTCCCATTTTAACCATCTGTACATGGCAGCCTGGGAGCTTCGGGAGATGTACAGCATTTTAGGTCATCCTGCTCAGGGGTTCATCAGTTTTCCCGGGGCCAACCCTGAAGCTCTGATCAGCTCCCATCCTGATCTTTAGAGGCTTGCACCCTGCCTCACGGAACTTTGTAGAAGATTTTCTGAATGAATTACAAGTGCTCCCTTTCTTCTCCCTGCAGAGCACCTGCGACACAATGCCGAACCACTCTGAAACCGTCAGCCACACTGTGAATGTGCCCCTGCAGACAGCTTTGGGCACCCTGGAGGAGATTGCCTGCTGACACCTCAGGCAACCCAGCACCTCCAAATAGACCTTAAGGCCCAAGACCCAGGACAGGGGACAGCAAGTTCAGGTGGGATGGCCCCTGATGACAGAAAGAAGCAAGAGCCCCCCCCATGCACACATTGCGAACTTCTGCCAAACCTCACTCTGGCCACATCTGACATGAACCGTCCCGGGCCCTGCCACTTGTCCCTTGTAGGACCAATGAGTCCCACTCCGGAACTGTCCAAGAACTAACCTGCCATCACATCTCACTGCCAAGATGTACAAAGCACCTGCATGCTCAGACTTCTTACGGCGCCACCTCCTCTTCTGTCTTGTACATGGTATTTTCTCCGTGCAGTTTCCAGAGCCCACTCTGCTGCCCACGCAGCAGCACCAGGTTCCAGCCCCAAAGTCACCCTGAGCCCAGCTCTGGAATCAAAACTGCACAGTCAAGAAGGAAACCACAGAACTCTCTACAACGTTTGGTCCTTGTGTTGTTTGTGAAGGTTCTTAACCTGCCCACAAACCCCTGTCTCCCAAACTGGCCATGGGGCTCCTGCACTAAAGGTGACCAGTGCCAACCTCCTCCTTATCCCAGCACCTGTGGAGGTGACACAGTGGCCTGGGTGACAGCCGTATTCGTCCATGGAACCACGTTGTTGTTCTCACCCTGTAACACATCTGTAGTTTGATTTTTGTTTTGTTTTGTTTGGGGCTGGGGCTGTTTTTGTCTATTGAAGGTCATTTTGGTTTGCTGTTTTATGGTCTTTGGTTTTGATGTTCTAAGGTTCAGTTTGGGTTTTCCACTTTTCTTTGGAGTTTATTTATTCGTGCTTCAAACCACAGTCATATTAAAAGCTGGTCTTGTGGAAGTGGCCACATCATTCTGCCTTTTCTCAGCATCTAGTTCCCCGTCCCTGGGGGCTAAGGAAAACCTAAGACCTGCCAGCCAAAGCTATGGAGAATGTGTTTGTTTACAAGGTTCATCAACAGTGTTTACCTTTACAAGGTGTGCGCATTATATATTTTATCCTGTTCTAAGCCATAACTTAGTTGACTACAAGATCCAGTAACAGATCAAAACCTGTGTTCTTCAGGACACCACCCAATGTAAGTGTCATTAAAAAGGGAGAGGCAGAGGCTATCCCTGCCAGAAAACCTTAACAGAGACCTTCCAGGGCCCCTGTGAGTCCTCCTAACCCTGTCTGTGAGTTCAGGCTAGACACAGAGCCAGTGAAGCCTCTCCCTTGCCACCATCTGACCCTCTTGAGTTCTCTACTCCCAGGAAACTGGCCTACCTTGTCCCTCCAGCAGTCACATTTGAAGCATGTGACTCCAAAGAGGATATCCAAATGGGACACGAGGTTGAAGGTACCTTTGCTGATCACAGCTGCATGCTCACCCCTTTGAAGCCTCTGGACAGCAAACGAGTTTCTAGTTCAGACAGAATCACTCCATGCTGGTTCCATGGCCACAGTCCCTCTAGGCTGGATTTTTACTTCCAACCACGATGCCCCAGTACTCCTTAGCCAGAGTCTGCCCCAGCAGTGGCAACAAGTCTTGTATCTTTACCCACATGTACATAGTCATGGATAGAACAGGTCAGAACAGGGCTCAGGGTTCTAATCTACTCTGGATCATTCTTTCCCACCACGCTGTGGTTTCTCCAGTGTGTCCAGTTGAAGAATCTCATAACTAGGAGTCTGCAACTGTGGCCCATGTCCATCTGTCTCCTCTCAGTAGCTGCTTGCAGTGACACTGTGATCCTCTCTGGGCTCACTCCCTTGATTTGAGAGTGATTGTCTTTTGCCTATATGAAGGGAAGGTTCAGAAACAGGTAATGTCTTGTATAGGACCCCTTCAGACTTCAAGGGCTTTGGCCACCAGATGGAACAAGTCCTGTGTATACACCTGTCACACACACAAGCGTGGCCAGGAAATGAAGGTGATGAAAACTGCCAAGACAGCTGGGAAAGAGTTCTGCTGCAATGCCCACCCCCACACTCACACATACCCAAACTCTCTATGGGGGTTGCCCAAACTGTTAACAATTCTTAGGAATGCAGAATAGCATGTCTTGAACATTTCCAGTCTTGTTTTCTATCATGGAGGCAGTAAGTCACTAGTAGTATAGTGTTGTTTAAAACAATGTATCATCTTATTGCTCTGGGAAGTCCAGCATGCCTCTCATTGGACTAAGTTGACAAGATTGCATTTCTCTCTAGAAGCTCCTGGGGAGGATACACTTAAGACCTTGTCCAGCCTCTAGAGACCCACTGTTTCTTGACAGTGTAACCCCTTCCTGCTTATTTCAAGTTAGCTAGAACTGCTAAGTCTTCTCACATCACCAGGACCCTCCATAGTCACATCTCCCTCCAACTCTGACCTCCCCTCCTCCTCCCCTCCTTCTACCCTCTTCCACTATTAAAGGTAATCTGTGAAGACACTGGGCCCAACAGGCAGTCCAGGATAACCTGCTCCATTGCAAAGTTAGTCCCTCCAGCACATCTAATAAAGCCTCTTACTTACTATGTAGGGTCACTTGTTCCAGATATCAGGTTGTCAACAACTTCATGGTCAATTATCCTGCCTATTGGACCACATAGCCTAATACCCTCATTTTCCAAATTAATAGACCCAACTAGGGTGGGCAGAGACTGACGTGGGTCACCCACAGAAGGAGTAACTATGCTCAAGATGCGCTCCTCAGCTCCCAGGTTCACAACTCTATTTGTAGACCTACCATGATGACTCACTTAAAGCAAAAGGGGGTCAAACATGATTTCTCTTTCAGACTCCACCAGACCATAGAATTCTCTCCTGAGATAAACTCACCCCTCACTTCACCCAGCTGGGAAATGTCCCACTGGTGGCTGGACTGTCACATGTGGAAGGACAGGGGTCTGAAGGCTGGCCTTAGACTTGTTTCCATCAGTGACAGGAACACTGGTGCCTCTGCCTTCTTCCAATTTAACAACGTCATACATTTTTAAAAAGTGATAACCGAGCATGTTATTTGAACTGCTTCAATGGATTTCTAGCTTCCTGCCTGGAAAAATATAAATAAGGGCAAGGGATCACTTTTGTGATGGGGAAAAGACTGTTCAGACACATCTGTATTGCTTTGGGACACACACATCTATGTATTCCTTCCAATTTGGAGGTTCTGGCTTTGTGCAGTTTAGGGTAAGTCTTTGGACTTAATGTTCATATGTGTATGTATATGAAATTCAAAATAACAAACCAATATCCAGATATCAATTAACAAGCTGTTAACCAAAGATAGTCTAAATTCCAGTGAGTGGCAGGGTGTTTTTATTGCTGTCATTTCAAACAAGCATCCTAAGAAATGTATATAGAGACATCTTCTGAGTGTTGATCAGGAAAGGTTAGGAGTACAGAGGACAGTCTGTGTCACAGTCTAAGGAATCACAAACAATGACACAAAGACTTGGAGTTGAGAACAGTCGCATGGCCATACCTCAAGGCTGGATTCTCAGTGGCCTTGGAGGCTGAGCTCAGTTGATGGATGAGTAGCCTGAGGCCTCACAGATAGAGTCCAGGAGGAGGCTGCAGTCAGTGGAGCAAAAGGAATGAGCCCTTCTGCGAGCATCCAAGCTGTGCCAGGGCCTGAGCTGGCTGCACACAAGCTGTTGCTTTGTTGTTTTTGGCAGAGATGCCCAAGTTATTTTCTATATATTTTCCTCTCTCCAGCTTGAAGCTATTTTTGTGAATGTTTTAACTGTGAACATGCCTAGAGAGTAACTTCTAGAGCAGCAAGCTCTGATAAGAGACTAGAGTCCCCTGTGGATCCAGCTCCTAGTAAGCTAGAGGTGGCAATGGGGGCCTGTCACCTACAGAGGTGAGCTCGTCCGGTAACATGCTCCTTCCAGGAAACTTGGCTCAGCTCACCTGAGCAGAAAGGTCCAAGGAGAAGCCTGGTGAACACATCCTTCACAGAGTTGGAAACTTCCAATCCTGGAATGTGGTGCCAAGGGCTCTGCCGGCCCCAGGGACTGAATTCCCCAGTTACGGAGGAGAAAGGAGTTCAGAGAGGCCAAAGAATTCCTTCTGCAGGAGAGTTCAGCCAATCCTGATCCACATACAACGGGGGCAGTCCCCTTATTGTATGAAATAAGCTTCCTAGCAGAGGTAGAGGAAGGAACGAGAAAAAGAAACAAGAGACCAATAGCCAAATCATAAAGAACTCAGGTCCACTATTCATTCACCTCAACTGTTGTGTACCAGGCATGAAGTTTATAGTCTGAATGGAAACACTAGCAAATATACAGATGGATGTGGGTTCCAGCTGAAGGGACATGAAATGATGCATAAGCCAGGTCCAGGAGGTTAGAATAGGCAAATTTTAGGAGACTGGACACAAGAAAGGGAACCCCAAGTGGAGACATGAAAGGGAGAAATGAACACGCAGACACACACACAGACACATACACACAACACAGACACATACACACACAGACACACACACACACACAGACACATACACACAGACACACACACATACACACACACAGACACATACACACACACAGACACATACACACAGACACATACACACACACAGACACATACACACAGACACACACACAGACACATACACACAGACACACACACACACATACTTCTCTGTGGTTTTGATTTTTTTTTTGCTTCTTGTAACATACTGATTCTTAATCTTGTTTGGATCACTGACTTGTTTTATAATAACCATGAGGATAGGCATAAGATTTTACATGTAATTATAGAAGGGTTCTGAAGCCTGGACCCCATCTGTGACCCTCCATGGCTCCATGGATGCTGGCTGTGGTCTTGAAAGTGCTGACTAATTTCCAAGAGAGCCCACACCAGCACACAAAGAGGGATTGATGTTTCTTCTCCCCAAATGGCATAATGACTGTCGTTTTTCAATTTGCAGAAGGGAAAACAAAAGATAAGCTTTGATAAATTTCATTTTTTTTCTTCCTTATTTTTTTTAAACCTTTGACACCTGCTGCAGCTTTTGAGCAGAGCATGCTCTCACAGATGGCAAAGTGAATGAGTAGGCAGAAAATGAATACCCAGGAAAACCCAGGAATGGGATTTCATAAAATTATTTTATGTGTGTAGAGGTTCTGAGGGCTGGAGAGACCTGAACACATGAATGACGACCATAACACCTGCTTTACAAGGATGTGCCCGTGGCCTGGTGGCTAAACAAGGAGGGAAATGTATACATGATGCTCTTGGATGGCCATTGGACCTTCAGTTATGCCCTTGCTGTTGGATTTCATTTGCTTTTTTAGCAGGGATGGTGTCTTCTTAGGGTTCCAATTTCTGTGATCACGACCCAAAGCAACTTGGGTATAAAAGGGTTTACTTTGTGTTACAGGTCCCAATCACAGTCCATCATAAATGAAGTCAAGGCAGGACCCTTGAGGCAGGAGAGGATGCAGAGACCATGGAGCCAACTACTCCTGAGCATGAGGCCTGCCGTGGACTATGGCTAATGTACTTGCTCAATGTCACTCCACTGAAGACAACTGACTTTCCCTTTCCTAGCAGCTATCATTTGCAAATAGCTTCTTGGTTAGGGGTGGGACTTTGTGTCCACTCCTCTTCTCCATTCTGGGATTTGACTGGATTGAACTTGTGCAGAGGAAGACACCATTCTTGTCTTCAGGAATCTCAGTGTCTAGCTGGGCAAAGGTGGCTGATGACAAAGCTAGAGATACTGGAGAAGAGAGAACCGCAACTGAGGAACTGCATCCATAAAATGGGCCTTTAGGCAAGTCTGTGAGGGTATCATCTTGATTAATGATTGATGGGGGAGGGCCCACCCCATGGGGGGTGGTGCCACCTTTGGTCTGGTGGT